CCCCCCGCCTGGCTTCACCCATCCCAATCCCCCCACGGCTCTAAACACTCTCCCCTAGAGACAAACATACCCCTGACATGCAAATCTACTGGACTTCTGCACACCTATCTATCTTTGTTCTATGCTTCTCTATGTATTTATATCTCATATATACAGCGCGTTTTACTCCAGTTCCTTGAAAAGACTTCTCTCCACAAAAAACATCGACTCTGCCAGCCCGGGGCCGCAGCGAGCCCACGCGGGACGTGTGGAAATCCCTGAAGGCAGCCGGTCCAGCCCTGCTGGAAAATACCCCCAGCCAAGAACTACAGCTGAAACCAACCCAAAACTCTTGAGAAATCCCAAATCTACATCACTGCCTGAAGCGGGAGGAGAAACCAAAACGCCAGGCAGGTTTCATCCTAATGCAGACTGCAAGGTGCGAGCAGCAATAAGCCTCAAATGTGCGTGCCTGGATGCCCTGAGACATGACTAAGCCCTGCTAGGACTGTGCCTGGGCTGCTGAGCACAAGCTCTGCGCCTTCAACACCCTGGAGGTAGGTACAGAAAAGTTGTTATTCCCTTTACATTGCCTTTATATTATCTATCCAAACACAGTCACCTCCAGCCTTCCCCCAAAGCGGGGGGCACTGAACCAGCTGACAAGGAGACGAACACCAGATCCACAGCCCGGCACCCACCAGTGACCAAAACCAGCCTCCACGTCACGAGTGACCAGCGCACAACAGCAGCAGCAGCGAGCATCCCCCCCGCCCCGGGAAAACCATCGCCTGCTCCCCACCACCCTGGCAGCTGCCGGGGACCGCTCTGCTCAGGGGGGCACCTACGCACGCACCCGGTGAGATCCCAAACCGTGACGGTGGTCTGGGGACACCGGTACCTTCCATTGAGGGCTCCAGTCCAAGTTCATGGTACAGATCTGTGGTAGAGCTGGGAAGAGAACCCCCAGCTCCCCCCCATCCTACAAACCCATCACTCCAAGCACCCATGGATGTCGTTAACAGCAGGCACAGAAACGGGGCCCCAAAAACGAGCCCTAAACACTCCCCGCACTCACACTAACATGCCTTTTCCTTCACGTCAACATCACAAAACCTAAAAGCATCCGTGGGTTTGTGCGGCAAAGTCACCTTAAAAACACACAGCCGACCGCTCAGCAGCTCCTGCCAGAAAAACAGGCAAAGCTTTTTCCCCGCCCCACCACCTGCCTGCAGCGGGACAGCACGGGTCTGATGGAGAGGGTGCAAGGGACGGCACCCCACAACCTGCCCCTCGTTCCGAGGGATCTCAGCGGCGCCCCCGTACCTACCTCTCTGCGTTACCTCCCCCGGCTCGGGGTGGCTGAACCGCAGCCGCACGGTAACGGCGCTGGAGCATCCCCACCGCGGCCACCTCGCAGGAGAAGGCAGCAGCCAGGACCTCCCAAAGCTGGGCTGGGGCCCACTGCGCAGAGCCCAGGGACAAATATTCTTGTGATTCAGAGGCATTTGTTCACCGTGGCCCTGGATTTTCCAAGGGACCTAACGAAACACATCACGTTCGCAACGTGCGAGGAGGAATCGTACGCTTACTGATAAAGCAAGAGCCGTCTACCTCAGAAAAGCTTACAAAATAAGAGAGTTTGGCCCAGGAAGATAAAAATCAAGATATATTTTGCAGCATGTAAGGAAAAAAAGAAAAAATAATGAAGCAGCAGCAGCTGTGTTTGCAAACCACCAAAGCGAAACGGAGTTCAAACAGGGATGAAATGGGGGAAGCGTTTGGCATCGTCTGACACAGCTTCGATGTCCCAGGTCCGCGGGAGGAGAGAGGAGTGACCCCCTGAAGGGCATGGAAACCAGAGGGCTGGGAGAAGCGAGGAGGTTGCCAAAGCAAGAGGCGAGCCCGTCTGCCAAAGCACGGCCCGAGTCTATCGGAAGGTAACTCGGTCTAGCGGGAAAAGGAGTTAAGGATGGTTTTAGGGAAGAGCCGCTTCCACGAGGCGCCCGGGCGGGATTTCCCACTCCAGCAGCGTGGCACGTACACGGCTGAAAGAGAGAGGGCTGCAGCTCCAGCCTCTAAAGGTCGAAGACCATGAAATGCAGGGGGGCCCAGCGGCTCAAAACACCTGCAAAAGGAAAACAACTCTCAAAAGACTGACCCAGCAAGCCGGCACACTCCGTCAACCTTCCCTGCACTCCAAGTCCTCTAGAGTTCCTTAAGACGTGATGAGGGCACAGTCCTGAGGTAGCGACCTCAAGAGCCTGAAGATACTGCCTTGCCCTTCCGAACGGGCGTCGTAGATAGTTTGGAAAGCACTCAAATGGAAAAACAACCTCCTGCGAGAGAGGTTGAGGCAACGAGAGCGAAAGGAAGAGCAAATCAGCCGCGGCACGGCCAGCACACAGCCTCCACGCCTCCCCCCCGAGCGGGGCATCCCCCGGCCCCAATTGTCACCTTTCCGTTGGGAGTTACCGGTGAGCTGAAGTTAGCCAGGCAGAGTTTTCCCCGCTGCCGAGCGGGTGAATGGCATTAAATCAATTCAGATCCGAGCGGATTCTAGGGAAATCCCTAAAACACACTCAAATAAAAGAAATCCACAGTCATACTGTTAGCGAAGTTGAATTCTCACTCTGATAGTTGAGGGCGTTACATCAGGTCACTCGTCACATACTCATTGAAAAGCCCTGGTGCAGGCTGGAAAGAGAGAGGGGCGTTTCTAGGAGACCCTCCCTCCTTCCTGAGACAAACCTGCTCCCGGTTTGAAGACCACCTACACGAAGTTGTTAAAGCTCAGAAATATCTCGTTATCGATTTAGAGGATTCATCGTCAAGCGGTTCAAACCTACGTCAGGGCTTCGAGATGGGAAAAAGACACGGCACTCTGCTTTCCGTGGCTGCAGGTTTCCGAGCATCCTGCTGGAAGAGGAAGCACAACCTCTAAACCCAGGTATTTTCTAGGCAGAGCGATGAACAGGCTCCGACCTAAAAGCTCCTGGGGAGTGTGGTGCGGTCGGAGTGGCGTATCCCAACCGCCCGGCTGAGAGCTCACGTCTTTCTCCAAACATCTAAGCCCTTCGAGGTTCAACCAGCAGCAAGAGCAATAAACCAAGGCAAAGCAGAATTAAAGGCGAGATTGCGGAGAATCTCTTGGCAATTCTACCTGGGAATAAACAAAAGTTTCATATGCAAATGGAGAGCCTGGGGCAAAAAACATGCCTACAGGCTCTTCGATTCTCCTGACACTTCTTCTACAGCCTGAATCCGCTCAAAGCAAGAATATCCACATGAAACACTCGGTATTTTATTCCCAGGCAGGCTGGAGGGTTTAGCACTTTACCGCAGAGGAAGAAGTGTGCAAACCTGGATGCAGTGGTTGATTTTACCACTTCAAAAAAAAAAATAAATCTCTAAATACTTTTAAAAGTGGGGATCACTTGGTAATAGCACTCAGTGTTTACACAGCACTTGCAGTCTGTAGGCAACCAAGTGCTTGTCCAAAGTGCTTAAATATGACTTATCCCCATTTTACAGTTGGGAGAACTGAGGCACAGAGAGGTTGAGTGACTTGCCCAAGGCCACGCAGTCAGAGAGTGGAGGCAGAGCAGGAAAGCGAGCCCGGCTGTTCGCAGAGCGGGCTACACCTTTCCTGCTGAAAAACAAAAAGGCCTATGCAATCCAGAAAACCACCGGCCACCAAACCTACCCTAAGTATTTTGAAGAGGAAATACATTCTGGTGAAGAGTTAGAACAGCATTACCGAGAGGGGAACAGCGGGTCTCCTCGGATGGGGCAAAGGGAGGGACACAACCCCAGCGGGTGTCACAGCCCACACGGCCAGGCTGGAGCAGGAGAAAGAAGGGGAAAACAGTGAAACCAGCAGCAACGCATTTTAAGCTGACGCAAAAGGCCAGGCTTAGCTTTGCACGGTCGCTCGGAGGAACCATCCGTCTCTCCAACCGCAGAGCTGGGGATTTTTCCAGCCGGTCTTGCCTGGGCTCAGCGTCTGCTGACGGAGGCGTTTGGGCCAAACACAGCCAAACCCCTTTCGCCCCGCTTAGCAGTTATGACTAAAGATTACAAACGTTACCGTAGTAAGAAATCACATTACTACACAGCACTGAAGAACACTTGCCAGCGATATACGGAGTGTCGGGAAGAATTAATCAAAAACCACCCTCATCAAAGCTGACACACACTGTACTTGGATGGGGGGGGGGGAACGACACTTGGATGACAACAGCCCCACACCTGCGTGCTCGCAATGCTGAGTACGCGTCAGCAAGGTTCGAATGCATTTGCACAGACAAATTGGAGATTTTTCACATCTCAGACCGATTTGAAGACTCGGGGTCTTTCTGGTTTTGCCTTTCAGAGACAGGTAAGGAAAAGATGTCACGTATTGTTTTGTTGCTGTTATCTTCACATAAAAGGAGTCTGGGAAGGGGGAGGCAGAGAGATTTTCACAATTACAGCTTTCCTGGGATGATTTGGTCATGTTTTTATCATAATCAAATTCATGGGATTACCAGTTCCCGTCTGGGTTGTTAGTTTCTTGTCAATTAATTACACCCTGTGTCATTTAATTTCTTCCGGCGATTGAGGGCCAGCTGCTCAATTCCACACTTTCTCCCTAAACGCGCGCTGCAGAAGCAGACGTTAAAAGCTCCGTCTATGCCTTTTAAGCCTAGAGATCTTTTCCGAAACTGAGGTGCAATGTCCCCCCACACACCCCTTCCCACCCCGCCAAAGCCGTCCAGGGTGAGGGGAGAAGCGGATCCGAGGAGCGCCCAGCTCCAGGCATCCTCCCTGTCCCCCCAACCTGCCCCCAGGGTCCCCCCAGCTCGTCCCCGAATCCCCTCGGGCAGAGGTGGCAGCGTAAGGGTGTCCCCCTCCCCGTCTCTCCCATTCCCTCCGTCTGCCGGCGGCACGATTTCGGCTCCCTCCACCCCCTCCTGTTTAACCTTCTCGGGCGGGCGTTAGGCTAAAGCAATGTGGCGTGCCCGCTGGTGTCATCGTGGTCCACGCTGTTGAGAATGGCTGTCTGGTCTTCGGGGAGCTGCCGGTGGCAGAGGTCGTCCTTCAGCGCCGAGAGGCGGGCGAAGGGGTCCTGACGAGGGTGTCTCTTCTTTTTGCGGAGGCAGACAGCTTCGTCAGGCCACAGTACCTGAGAGCTGGGAAGTTGCTGAACCTGGGAGGCAGAGCCGTCTGCAGGGAGGGGGGGAAAGAAGGCAGATGGGACCAGAGCCGGCAGCTACCAGCAGCGCTGGCAGCAGGCAGAGCGCTCTGCGTGCCGTGAAAGGGAGGTTACGGCGAGCTCGGCCCCAAACCCGGCCGCTTGGGGAGAAGGGAACACGCTGGGCATCAGGGAAAATTAAACTAATGCTCAGAAATAAAATCCAAACCAGACTGCTAGAGGAGACGCATGGGAGGGGAACTGGGTTTAAAGGAGGGGAGGGACAGTCTGCGGGCAAGGAGCCATCCCTTCGGGGGGCAGGGGGTGAGGGCAGCATCCAGGCACGGGCTTGGAGACCCCCCCTCAGCGCTGGAGCGGGCAGTAACCTGCCCAAGCTCTGCCCACGGAGGAACAGAGGGGATGCTCTTGGGCACCGTGGGGTCCTCGCACTCACTGGATTGTTTTCTGGATTTCGAGGAGCCCTTGGATGACTTTTTGGGCTTCTTTATCCGCTGGTATTTCAGAGCTTCGAGCCTCTCAGGTGCAGCAGCGTCCCCGGACGGAGATGGATGTTTTCTAGGAAGGAAAAGCAGACAGGCGCCGTCAGGGCTCTCGGCCACGCTCGGGCCTCCGGATGTCCCCAGTGGGGGATCGGTCGACCCCAACCAGCTCTGCCATGGAAAAGGAAAAAGTGAGAAACCCGGGGCTGCGGGAGCGGGGCCAGCCAGGTGCGCTGGAGGAAGCGAGGCGCCCGCACGTGCCGCTCTGCAGGGTCCCCGCCATCCCCCTGCGTCTCCTCCACACTGCCGGGCGGTGCCGCGAGCCCGGCTGGTCCAACGCCCGGCCCAACGCCCGGCCCCCCGCAAGAGAGCCGCCGGCACCCCAGCTCACCTGCCTGCCATGCCAGCTCCGCTAAACAACAACAACAACAACAACAAAAAAAAAGGACGGGGCAGATCCTATGTCCGATAAGGCATTTTTGGGAAGTGGTGGGAAACCCCCTTGGGATGGAGAGAGAGGAAGAGACAGGCAGAAGCGGCACGGCAGCATCGAGACCATGAGCCACCCAGGGTGGACAACACCGGCGCCACAAACAGCAGAGAGGCAGGATCCTACCGGCCCTGCTCCCACGGCCAAAAAAAACAGGGGCCACACGACAGACAGGGACACGAAGGGCACAGGCCGACACAGCCGGGAGCGGTACCTCGCTCCCAGGTCCCTGCTATAAGCGACAACAGAAACGCAACAGCATGGGAGCGTCTAACTCCTTAACACCAAGGGGCTGGGAGCTGGGTTCTCTTGACCTGCAGGACAGGACGTTAAAACGAAAACACTGACAAGGTTTCGTTGTGGGGGACAAGGAGGGGATTTGCAAAGGGGTGTTTCCCGCAGGAGAGGCAGCAGTTCTAAGTTCTCCAGTCTTAGCCCGAGTAATTCTTCTACAGGAATCAGCTCAAGGTTAAGTGGTCTCCCCTTTGCAAAGGGAGTTATTTTGCTCTATTTTTTTCACTGTACCCGTTTTTCCCCATCCAAGGATTGGACGGTATGACTGCTGTGGAAAGCAGGGCAGTAGAGGAAAACTCCTCCTTAGGAGAGCGGTCGGCCCGGCTCATCTATCACACATCACAGCATCCCCCCCTCTTGCTGCTTTCCCATTTCCTTCCCCCTCTCCATTTCACTTTCACGTCCCTCCAAGTTGCACCAACACCTAATGCCGCAGGAGAAGTCCGAGTTAAGGCAGCAGAGGCCACAGGTAATGACCCGAGATCAACGGAGTCACCACAGAGCAACCCACCCGTGGGGTGCCAGAGATGACAGGGGAAGCATCCACAAAGTGCCTTCCATTGCAAGAAAGCCAACACTCAAAGCCAGGCTCCAGAGAGAAAAGCCTGGTGATTTAAAACCAACGTGCCTCTAACAAGCCTGTCCTGCCCTTCAAGAGGAGGTGACACTCCTCTGCTCTCACAACTCGGGTCACCGGAGGTCAGCCACCAAACCTTTTCAAACCAGCCACGCGGAGGCCAGTGTCGATGGCGACTCCTGCATTGTCCGGCAGCTGTGACCGGGGCAGGGAGCAGCAAACCCCGCGAGCCACGGGCTCTTCACAAGGCAGGTAGAAGAGTCCCCTCGAGACTGACTGCAAGGGGGCAGCCTCAGCGCATTCAGACTCCTGTTTTGTCACCAAAAATCCGTGGCTGAACTCACCCACCCCGTTCCCGGTCTGTCAGTAAGGTGCGACCCACCCGGCGCCGGGTGCGGGGGCAGCGGGCGAGCACGGGGGCTCAAGGGCAGAGCCCCAGTGCACGGGGGCTGCGGTACCATGGCACGTCGCCCAGCGGTGGGTTTGGGAGCTTCTCACCTCCTTTGGGCTTCAGGTGGAGCCTCTCCAGCACCAAAGACACCCCGCAAGCTTTCCTCTTCGAGCCCACGCAGGCCACTGCTGCAGAGAGCACGGCGGGACAGCAACGCTTTACGCCTGAGATCCCAAGAGGCTGCCAGAGTGGTGATACTTCAGCTGGAGTGGAGCAGGCGAAGAGCTCGCAAGGGATTTTTTTCCCCGTGGGGAGCAGACGGGTTTGTTTTTGAAGATGCGTGTGATTGCAAAGCTTCTCAGTTCTGCTAGCAGCGTTGGAGAGCATCAAGAAAAGCGCGGTGTGAATTGATGAAGCAGCTGGGACACAGCAGATGCAACAGAAACCCAAACACTGGGTATGGAAAAAGCCCCTTTTCATATTTCCCATCGCAACAGAGACACTGAGGCGTGGATGCTCCTGGAGAGGCTCTGTTCCAGCTCCCAGCAGAGCAGCACATCAGCTGAAGATGAAGCAACTCATTAGACAAGCTGATAGTCCCGCTGGCAGGATCCAAGCGAGAGTTTTCCCTCGTAGGAAAGATGATGTATACGAGCCCATACAGTTGCTTAAACGCCTTTTCCCAGTGCAACCAGCTTCTCGTGAGAGGGGCTGCCTGCGAGCAGCAGCCCCCAGCTCTGTCAGGGCACCACCTGCCAGCTCAGAGTGACCCAAAGGGCCAACAGCTGGGACTTCCCTCTGAATTCCTCCCTGCGTGGTCAATAACAGGCTTCTCCCACTTATATCCACCATCCTATGATGTGCACAATAGTTACGTTCATGCAGGTGTTTGGCTACCAGTGACCTCGACCACTCCAGCCCCAGTCCACCTCCCGTGGAGCTCAGGTGTGCCAAGCCCTGGACACCGCCGAGCTTGGTGATCCTGCCACCATCCTGCCCTGTTCCCAGCACCCAGACAACGTCACTAAGATTATTAAAGCTCAGATTGTAAAAGGCTCTTACTCTTACTCTTTCCATTCTTTTTGCCTTCTAAGAAGATGCTACTATGGCATGTTGACAAAATTAGACAGATTTACACAAGGGATTATGAGGAAATTGCCTGAAGCTCATTTCCACTCGTTCTCCATAATTGGACTTGTATTTATACACACAAACATAAACAGTGAGCGCACGGAACCCATGTGTCACCATAAATACTGTCTGACCTCTGGCAAGGAAGAGATAAAGAAGGACAAAACGATGCCGCTCACCAGCCAAATTTTATCTGCTCTACCCACCCTTTATTTCTTCAAAGGACTCCGATTCATTCAAATTAATTTTCATTTTAAGCTCAGCCAAAAGCCTCCTCCTGCCCCCAGTTAGCATTTTGGGCAGCTGCCCATGCACGAGAGCTATCTTGAACACCAGAAGACGAAAGGTTCACAGAGGCAGACGAACTTCTAGAGACTTCAGCGTAGAGCCGAGCAAAGAAGCTTCAAGAAGCATATGTGAATTCCTTACACAAGCCTTCTGCGAGGCACCACAAACACCCAGAGCAGCAGTTTTCCTTAAGTCTTCAAAGAACGACCCTTCCGAACGAGCAAGAGTCCGAACTGCTTGGACAGAGAGGAACTGGAGAGGCTGCGAAATATGGAGGGATCTCAAAAGAGCCCCAGGACAGGAGCAGGTAGCTGGGGCAGAAGACCTGTCCAACCCAACACACACCTTGGCTGCTCTTCTTCAAACTTCTTTCCACATAGGAAGCAAAGATGCAAGGGAGAAGGCCCATGAAAGCATCACCAACCTCTCCTACCCAAAAGAAGGAACCAATATAGAGGAAGGGTCCAGGAGATTCAAGGGCACAATACACGTATTTCACCTCGTGGAGGTCTCAATAAACATTCCCTGTCTCCTCCTCTCCTTGAGTCAAGACACTGACATTCAGAAATAGTTTGGACATGTTAGAACACCCACTTGGACCAGAGCCCATCATGTCTCAGCCACCGCTTCCTTCAACCCTCCATCCTTCTCAGACGAAGAGCTCAATTCGCCTACACAAGGCTCCGTCTCAAGCTCAAGTCCCATGTGATCCCACGAGATGTCCTGCAAGTCGGAATGCCCCCTCTGCTCTGAGGCAGCGCTGGCTGCTGCCTCCATCCCGGAATGCCACTGCGCATCGCTTGCGATCCTTCAGCGCGAGGGGGGTGCTAGAGAAACACAGCGGTGACGGCCCCCGGCCCCAAAGCTGCTGCTGCTGCCAAGGCACCGCAATGAGGGAGGAAGGGGCTGGTCACAGCGGGGGGCACACCGGAGAAGGGGGTCCCCTCTCCAGGTCTGCAGACACCACAACTCACCTACACAACGGACTTCACCATGCTGACGGAAGAGGAGCGGGGAGGAGAGAGGGCAAGGGAAAAGGGGCCGGACTGGAGAGGAAGATAAATGAAAAACAGGAGTGAGAAAAATATAGAAGTAAATTAAAGAGACTGAAAAGAAAAAAAAAATAATAATAATTAAGAAAGAAAAGAAAAACGCACTCAGACAAGCGGACTCACAACTTCTCCAAGCGGGAGGAGGCATGAAACACATGCAGAGGATCAGCACATGGACAGTCTTTAAAGGGGAACCTGTTTTCTTTCAAGCGGGGAGCGAGGGGTGCTCCTCCTCCTCCCGCACGCCCGGCGCCGACGTCCCTTCATCACTCAACGCTACGCCGCGGCCGAGCCCTCAAACTCTCGGTGTCGGCAGCGCTGCCCTGGCAAGGGGGGAGCCGGGGGGGCCGCCCGGGGCAGGCTGCAGTGCCGAGGGGCATGGGAGCTTGGTGCCTTGTCTGTGGTTTTTGGGTTTCCCTCTGCAGGGAGACAACAGCCCCCTCTTCCCCGTTAGGAGATGTATCGCTGCGCGCTGCATCCAGAGAGAAGAAAACGGGAAACCTGCTCGTGCCGGCTCAGTAAGGGCATTATTTATCCCTGCCCACAGGTAAAAACTACCTGACTTTCACCCAGGGAAAGCCACCGTGCTGCAGCCACCACACCGAGCCCACAAACTGCCTCTCCCTCGCCTCCTCTCAGCTTTTATTACTGCAGTACAGAAATCTGGCTGGTCTGGTATAAAATCCCTGTGCTCCGCATGCACTGACAATTTTATGACCCCAAATCATCAAGAAATTACTTGGCTGGGCTCTTTACAGGATTCCTCGCTTATTAAAGTGAGATTTATTCTTCTGGCTTCCCCTTTTTGGGGATAATGACTCTGGTGTTGCTCCTGTGACTCCAACCCCTGGCAGCATCTCAGCGTAGGACGCACGGCTGCTCCTCAGCAAGTGTCCTGCTGGGAAACGGGACCCTGCTCCTGAAACCCCGTCAGCCCGCAGCACCCAGCACAGGAGTCAGCCAGGATCTATACAAGGGCCACACCGAACTCAGACATGAGTCTGGACTCACCTCTGCTGCGCTAAAGCCATGTTCACTCGTGTCCCTAACGCTCCTGGAGCGGGGAAGCACCAGAGAAAAAGAATAAACAGTCACGGCCTCACTGAGGGCTTCCCTCTTTCTCGAGAAGTCTGGCACAGCCCAGATCTCACCAAGGCTCAGTGCCAGCTTTGCTCCTCATGGGACACCCTGCTCTGGGACCAGCAGGGGAAAACAGAAGCAGGAAGCCAAGGATTCAAGAGCTTTGGAGGCTGCAAGGCTCAAATTGGAGAGGTTTTGCCATGCCAAGAGGGTGGCGCCTCCACGGAGCACACACCCTGTACCAGCCCCCATTGTTGTGACCCAACACTCCTTCCCTCACCTCTTCTGCTCTCCCCACCCCAGGACAACCCTCCAGGTCAGCTGGAGGAATTCCCCTCTCCCAGGAACACCCACCTGATTTCTCTAAGCATCTCATCTCTCCCTCATGAGGCTCTTTTGTGGCCCAACAAGGCTCCTCAGGCTGTTGGGAGAGCGTTAGCCAAAACCTTGACTCTTCCTATCCAAGGCAGCAAAGCTTAACTTTTTTTAAGACCTGTCCTAAGGAAGCTTGGGCATAGCCAGGCTCTAGAAATGGTCCCATCTGCAATCCCACCTCTCCTTTCGTAACCAGCCTGGCTGAGAGCCAAATGGGTCAGCCCTCCCAATCCCTGGGATCAGGAATGACTATTATCCCATCTGGCTTTAGCCATTTTAGTGAAATTCTCTGCTTCTGAGGTCTGAAAAAACATCTCTCAATTACTCCGTCCCAGTTCCAGGGATGCCCATGGCTATTCTAGGAAACTGGCCCCACAAAGGCAGCCTGAGAAGTATTTTCTTGGGAGAGTCTTTCAAGATCTGCTTAGGGCTGTTTAATTACAGCTGGGTCAGAAGTTGTCTTAAAAGATTTCTCCAAGGAGTTTTTCAGAGGAGAAGGGCTTTTACTGTGACTGCACTTGTGACGGGAACAATAAAACACCTCCCCGGCAGCCTGAAACTGTAGTTATGCTGCTGCCAACTGTACAGCCCACCCTGAAAGACTTTTCCCATTTTCCACGATTGAGGAGACTTAGGAAAAAGAAAACAGATCCAGGAACTGACGGGAACAAAATTCTCCATGTCCTGGACTGCAGCTAAGGACTGATTTTTGGAGCCCCACTCCGAGAGCACTGTCTGTGCCCGGTTGCTCTGGACGTGGCTGTTTTACCTGGCTGCAGGGGGCGGCCATGAGCTCCTCCTGGTTTGGATCATCCAGGACAACCCCACCTCGACACACTCCTCCCTACCACCGCATGACCCTCTTGCCAGACATTGCCACCCCCAAGAAAGGAAGAGTGGCCACGGGGGAGACAGCAGCTTGGCTCATCCCAAACCCCAACACGTAGACACGGCTGCCACCACCGGGCCCTCCAGCCCCGCCGCCTCCCTGAAGGCAGGGGAGCAGTGACATGCTGCTGGGAGAGGAAACCCAAAAGCCACAGAGACTGTGCGTCCAGAGGTGTTTCCTAGTGTTTTCGGATTCCTTATTCCCCTTTAAAGGAAGAGATGGTATTGGAAAAGCCCCTTCCGTGTCCCCTCTCATGCCCCGCTCCCGGCCACCCTCCACAGCACCCACACCATCCTTTCGGACATGGATCACCCTTACCTATTGAGCTGAGGAGAAGCTTGTCTCGACAACACTGCCCAGATAGCTGAGATTAATCAAAAACAAAGCAGTTATCAACACCCGCAAGGAGCCGAGCTCCGCAACACATCAGCACGTCAACAACTCCAAAGGAAAAGGAGGGAAAGAAACCAAACCGAAACACAAACGAAACGAGGCTGGAGAAGAAAGGGGGAAAGAAACAGAAGAGAAAGGAAAAGAAGAAACGAAAACAATAATCAACAAAGCGAATGGATACACTGCGTAAAAGCACGGACAACGGTGCTGCTCTAACACGGATCTGTCCTGGAGCTGGGTCTCCTTGGGGTGCCCTGGCTAGGAGACGTGGACCTACGGCTACAGGTTTAATTGCATCGCTCCGTAGCTGTGTTTTCCAGAGGCACACAGAAGTCGCTTCAGGCTCGTTCAGCTCCTCTCCCTCCCCATCCTCTCCCCTGAGCCCTCCTTCCTTCCTTCCCCCTGCGCACCCCAGCCGGGCCGGGCCGGAGGGGTTTCCTAAGGCCATAACGCTTCCAGGTACCAGAGGGCGGGAGTGAAATGCGGAGGGCGCTGCGGGGGTGAAACGCTGCCTCCCCCCTCCCCGAAACACACGCCTCTTCTCCGTACGCCTCCGACCGCGCCGGCTCTGCGGGGCTGGGTGCTCCGGCCCCCCAACTCCTCTCTGCCACAAGCCGGAGGAGCGGCGGTTCGACCCCGCCAGACAACAAGCCGAAATGAAGCGAGACGAGAGGATGGGACGAAAGCACGGCTACGGGGTCTAAGGTGCTGTGAAAGACGGAGGGAAAGAGGAGAAATACAGAGAGAAAGAGAGGAGAGAGGAGAGAGACGCTTTTTGCCTGGAGCAACCCTGGTACCTGGAAAACCAGCCGCTACTGTCTAGTGCAGCCACATCCCTCTTTAGGGCAGGATCTGAGCGTGCCGGCAGCCTCCCGATCTCCGCTGGGGTTAGTTTATTTTTATTTTTCCTCCTCTCCTGACATGCTGCTGGTGTGGCTAAGTCCTTGATCTCTCCCTGCCCGCGTCCTGGGGCTGCAGCATCCCTTTTGCAGGTGGGGCGGTGACCGTGATAGCTGTTTCTCTCATGCATTAAAGCTCTCTAGACTCCGCGGGAAGGAAGAGGAGGAAGACAGAGGCGCGGCGGCGGCCGCCCTAACGTTCGAAGAAAGCCAAGAGCCAGTAGCTAGAAGAGGAAACAACCGCCGGTGACACCAGGACACTTACCTAAGCGAGCCGGGAGCCAGGTCTTTGCACGCCTGGTAGACGGCCCGTAGCCCGAGTCACGGCGCTCCCGGCTTCCCAAGGGAGCGGCCGGGAAGGAGGCAAGCGCGCCGCCGGCACCGGGAAGGTCGCCTGCCTAAATCCCAGCTCTCTCGGGCAGCGGCCATGCAACCCGCGCCCGCGGCACCAGCCTCTTCCCTAGCAAAGCCCGCGGGACGCCGTCTCCAAAAGGGATGCTGCAGCACGCCCAGAGAGACCCTACGAGTTGGGATGGCGATGGCGGGGAGGGAGTCAGAGGGAGCAGGTGAGGCAGGGTGGGGGAAGCCGGGAGGGGGGGCCGGGGTTGGGG